CACTCTGGAAGCAAGCAATATTTCAGCATTTTCTCTACTCCGGGTATTCGTGACAAAAACCGGCAGCACACGTCCTCTTCCTTTCCACCCATTACTCTCTCATTCTCCAAATGTACGTTACTTAGTCAACAGACAAACGATCTACGCCATGTAGCTATTAAATCCACCTGTCCTAGCCCACCTTTCTTGCCTGGAACCCCCTAAGGATGAAACTCGTGACAAATCACCCTCCTCCCATCCGGTAAATCCCCAAGCTCTCACCATGAGGTAAGCCGTTTGCAGGATCCATGTTGAGGGGTGCCAAAATAAGGGAATTGCATATAGAGGAGAAAAGTAGTGCGAGAAAAATTGTAGGAAAGACAGTCGAGTTAAGACGTCCCGGTCCTTACTCGCTACCCCTAAGAAAAATTCTCGGCTACCCCCTCATCGACAGTAACTGAGCCAAGTCGAGTAACTGTCATCTGCACTGGGATCTCGTTTTCATTCGGCTGGTCTGTAGGCTATGGTGGTCTGAGACATATTATCGACCGGTACTGGGGGTGTGAGGGGTAGAGGAGAGGGGGGGAGGGGGAAAATTAAAGATCAGTGTTTGTTGGGCTGACGTGGAGGTCCTGGGGTTTCCACTCTAAAGTGCTGTTTCGGTCTGTTTCTGGATGCATACCCCTAAAAGCGCTGATATGTAACTGCCACCCTTCCCCCACCCCGCTTGCTCCTACCACTTTTACAGCAAATTTTTTCATCGGTTGTTGGGTTTTAGGGGAATGTTCAGCAGGGACAGCACAGCCTCGTCGATCTAAAAGCACTTATGTTGGCAGCAAAGCTTTTTACGGAGCCTCCTTTGCTTTTTTGCATGTTATCAGTAGTCCGAAACCCCTCCGTATTCGCTGTCCATGGGTAGCGAAGACACTTGGAAATTGGCTGAAATGCTAGCAAATGCCCGCAGCAGCCGCCCGTGCTGGCAGTGCTGGCGATGGCTTCCTCTTTCGAGGGTTGCTTGCGAGCAAGCTGATGGCGGATTTGACTCCCTGGCTTGTGCCAGTGCATACGATATATCACATGATGGGATATTTTTGTGTTGATTTATTTGCGCCACGATTTTCGGCGAAATCTAACGCTTTTTTTTTTTTGTTGGTAAATAATGGCAACTTCAAAAAAGAAGACGCGGAAATTGCGTGGACACGTATCGCATGGGCACGGGCGCATCGGCAAGCATCGCAAGCATCCCGGTGGTCGAGGTAACGCCGGTGGCCAGCACCATCATCGTATCAACTTCGACAAGTATCATCCGGGATATTTCGGAAAGGTATCGCCATCTTGTTCTCTTAATTAAGGATTGCTTTTGTTGGTTGTTATCCTGTTCTTAGGGGATCTTTTTGTCTTTTTTTCGTTCCTACAATGAACAGCGACAGACATGGTTGACCCCCCCCC